CTTGAATACCTTGCACACAAACAGATTGAGTGGCTGGAGAGGTGGTTCTGCAGGTGGGGCGTTTACTACTGCTTCCCCTACATCCAGCATCTTACAACCTGTCACTCCAGCTCCAGGGGGTCTGACACCCTCTTCTGGTCCTTTCCCGCATCCACGCATGCATGTAAAAATCGCTTTACGCATGAGCACCCTCAGAGCAGCAGCATCCCAGCCTGAAGGGGACAGCAAGCCTTCAAGTCTGAGGAAGAGCTCCTTGCGAAGAGTTGTCACAGGTACTCGATCCACGGGGGAGGGGTCCTGAAGGAAAGAGCCCTTAGTTCCAAGGGCTCCAAAGGGTTAGGAAAATTACATCATTGCACTAGTACCTGTGAATTCTGTCAATTCCCTTGAGATCCAAAGAACAAACGAGGTTCTCTTATTACATGTTTTAGGGAGTGCGGCGTGATGGGGTTGGGGACGGGGACGAAGAAATCCGGAAGGCAGTGATAAACTTTCAGCGAAAATTCAAGGACCTCTGAAAAGTAGATGGGAGAGCAGCTGCAAAGGGGTGGGAGAGATGCCAGGCTGAGAGCTACTAGGTTGCAGCTCTCCCCAGGGGAGGAGACCGCAGAGGAGCCTGGGTGATCTCTGGGGGAGGAAGCAGCTAGAGGGCCAGTTTCCAATTCAAGTTTAAGACTAATGTTTTTTTTTTTTTTAATTTATATTCTTTGGTTCTGTTTCTTCTAAGCTGAAACTTTAAATAAGTAATGTTACCTAATTGTATAGGATATATGCAGTTATCCTGAAAATAATTTTTAATGACAAGACCGCTGATTCAAATTTGATTTTTGCTAGTCTTTATACTTCCATTAAAAACAAACTTAAATGTGTTATATTAATTTCTGACTGTGTTCTGTTTCTGGATTTGGTGGTTCTTAGGTTCATTTTGCTCATGTAAATCACATGAGCGCTTTTGTTGTCAGAATTCTGGAACAGGATGCATCTGCTATCCCTCCCTGATGCCAGCGTTAGGATCCCTTCATCTTTTGCTCATTAAACAGTAGCATATGAAGGCTTTTCTGTCACTTTGGAATTTTCCCATTTTGTTTTTTGACATTGATTTCTAGAAGTGAGATTGCAGCTCACAGGGCTCGCTTGTTTAGACGTGGCCCTTCCTCCATGGGGTTCCAAACCCCTGTGCCTGGGCCAGGTGCCTACTCCCCAAAACAAAAGAGAATGGTATTGGACGTGGATTTGGACAAGTGATAGGTGGGAAATTGGGCTTGGGTTTCTCTTGTATTTTGTTTTTCTTCATGACACAGAGTTTACAAACTTCTTTGAATTAGGAACATTCATCCTAATCCCCTCGCTTTTTAATTACAATTTTTTTATTAAAGTAAAATGTATGCAACACAAAAGTCAACATTTTAACCATCTTACAGTGTCCAACCCAACATCATTCGGTACAGTCATGCGTTGTAGCTCTCACCTCTACTTATCACTGAGCACACGTGGAACTCACTCTGTAGACCAGGCTGGTCTCAAACTCACAGAGATCCGCCTGCCTCTGCCTCCCCAGTGCTGGGACTGGAGGTGTGCGCCACCACCACCCAGCTGCCTTTTTTTTAGCATTGCCCACGTTTTACACTGGCCTTTGCTTTACTGGCATTGGTCTTGGTGCAGGGGTCGCAGTGCAGATCTGCTGACGTTGTTCTCTGGGCTTGAGAAGACACTTTCATCAGACTGAACTTTCTAGACATTGAAGTGTGACCCTGGGTTATCCACACCCCTGGTTTTCCGGCTTCTGATTGTGCTAGAGCCTCAAGGTCGAATGGGGTAAGTAGGACTGTCCTCCCATTTCTCCCACTGGGGGCGGGAATGGTTCCTGGACTGCATGCTGGCTTGCCCGCTCTTGGGTGTGCACTCTCCCCTGCCCCCTTTCATGAATTCTATAATTAGCTTGTTTTGATTAAGACAGGAAACACCCTGTTTTGTAAAGAATCCATCTGGTTTATGAGTGCCCACCTGGAGGGCTGCCCCATCAGCTGGCTCCTTGCTGGCCTTCTGTCTGTTCCGCTCTGTCTTGTGACTTGAAGGTGTTTTTAGAGCTGGCCTCATATAGACTTCACAGTTCCTGTTCCATTTATGTCTCCAGCTTTTATCTTTTTGCTGTTGGAATGTGTCCTGTCCTCATTGTGTCCTCTGACTAAATGTGCACACCGATCTCTGTGCCACTTTAAGCCCTGTGCTTTTCTGAGTTCTTAGCATTGAGTGCTTACTTTCTAGTGTGGGAAATACACCAAAGGGTTTGATCCAAGGACAGAAGGCTGGAGAGGCAAGACCACCCACACACCGACATCACCGTTTCTTTCCCTCCCTCCTTCCTTCCCCACTTCCTTCCACCTGCTGTCCACCAGGCAGCAGATGCCAAGACAGAACTGGGTGATGGTCACATACTAGGGTTCCACCCTAAGACTTCACCCAAAGGCCTCTAAGATACCCCCTTGGGGCTGGAAGCATGGATTAAGTGGGTTGGCCTTTATAGGAGGGAGTAGCCAGGAGCACAGCAGGGCCTGGAGGGGGGGGGGCTAACCAAGGCTAACAGACTGTGGGTAGCCTTCACACACGGTCCTAGAGCCAGAGCAGGAGCCAGTGAGCCTTGGGCAATATTCCTGCCTCAGTGGGTACTTCCTGGCTCCAGCGCCACAGTGAGGCCAGCCTAGATACAGACCTACCATGAACTGGGCCTACAGTGAAAGACTTGAGGTGCTGACTCCGAGCAGTGAGGTGGGTAGCGAGGGGAGTAGGTAGCAGGGAGCTCCAAGACAGCTCTGCCAAATCTCACACCCACCAGGCCTTTTCGTCTCTCCGTTACATCCCTAAACTGGGTGGAGTGGTGCACTTCTTTAATCCCAGCACTCAGGAAGCTGAGGCAGGAGGATCTCTGTGAGTTTGAGGCTACCCTAGTCTCCGTATTGAGTTCCAGGATAGCCAGGTCTAAATAGAGACTCTGTCTCAAAAATACAACAACCAGCCGGGCAGTGGTGGCACACGCCTTTAATTCCAGCGCTCGGAAGGCAGAGGCAGGCAGATCTCTGTGAGTTCGAGGCCAGCCTGGTCTACAAGAGTGAGTTCCAGGACAGGCTCCAATAAATAAATAAAAAACAACTACAAAAAATTTTTCATATCTCTAACTGGTTCACAGTGGCCACCAGGCCTATGCTTCCACCGTCCAGCCAACCACAGTGCTGGTTTCTATCCCGCCCACAGCTATGACCCTGAATGCTTCTGCTTGGTGAGTCTTGTCAGTACCTCAGCCTGGTCCCACTCATTCCTCCCACCCATGATAGCCATGTCTACACATTTCCCATCACTTTGCACAAATTATGTAAAATTTCTTTAGCGACAGTGCACCTGTCCCTGTCCTGTCCCCTACCCTCTTGGGGCCTTCTTGTCTCAACTTGTATCCAAATAACTGCTTCATAAACAGCCAAGTCAAGGTCCTAAGGACCCCTGGGAGATCCTCACCGGGCCTCAGAAATGTCGGGTGGTCATCTCCTTGTGGTCATCTCCTGGTGGTGGATATTGCTATCCTTAGAGGGAGAAACCCGCTGCTGTGGGAAGCTGATTCGTTGCCTCCGACTTCTCATTAGGCCCAATGTCCCCAGCTTCCTCAAGGCCTCCCACACAGCTTCATTCCAACTCCTGCTGTCCCTTTAACAAGAAACCTCCTGTGAGACTAGTTCGGCATGTGCCAAGATCCAGCCACTGGTGAGAGGCCCTGGGCTGGACGGTCAGCAACCTCAACTCTGGCTGAAGAAGATAAGAGTCTCTGTTAGGGCAGATATAGTGCTGGAGGCTTCTGTGGGATGCCAGAGCTGGGAATCCAAAGTCCTGTGTCCATCCTTTCCTTTCCCCGTTTCGTCCAGCATAGTTAGGAGTGCCCCACTATTTGCAAGGGACTCCGTTTGGAGAGTGTTTAGCTCACCAGAACCTGGCCTTCCCCGTATCTTGATTATCTCTAGTGCCACATCACACCCTGGACCAGCACAGAGCTCTCTGTTAGGCAGGCATTAGCGCCTAGACTGGAGAACCAATCAGAATCCTTCCCTCTCGGGCCACAGACGAGCCCTTCATACCTCTAATGGCTCCATGTGGGCCACTGAACACCCTACGGTGGCTCACCTAAAACAAATGGTTTGTACCCTTTCTGCCCTCCAAGGGGATGTGAACCCCATATAGCGATAGAACATCTTTCTACAGGAGCTTTCTCAGCCTGACACACAGCCCAGTCCAGCACACACAGCCTGGCTAGGGGAAGGGGGTGGGCAGGCTGCCAGGGCTCCATCAAGTCAAAGGATGGGCTCAGGGAGATAAAAGACAGGGCATATCTAGCCAGCACACACCTCCCCAGCACTACAGGTCTGGCCGGGGCTCTGAAACACTCCCGTGGCCTGATTTTTAAACAACTGGTATCAAGGAAAGGCTGGATGTGGGGAGCCGAGCGAATGTGTAGAGAAGATGAAGTCCCGGGTGAATGTCTATTGTTTGACACAGGCCCGGCCATGTCAAGGGCCCAATGCCTCTACCCGTGAGAAGGGAAAGCCTTCCTTTGGTCTGACTAAGTGTTGACAGTATATAGCTAGTATGAGTCTGTATGAATGATTGACAGCGTGTAAAAAAAACTAGCAACTGTAGCTTCCTCCTCCCTAGATGTTACTGCTTAAGATCGCACCGACAGACACCTAGCCAAGACTAGCTAACCCTTCCCTGTGCTGCACATAAGGAATATGCTGAGGTTTCAGGTAGTCACAGCTCCAGAGTGGGCCTGTCCTACCTGGGCCCAGCTTGCTTTCTTTGTCCCCTCACGGTCCCCAGTCGGGTCAAGTCCAAAGCTGCTCAGGACACAGCAGCTACATTCATGAATGTTAGACTTCATGAAGGACCGGCTTCCCAAGTCTGAGTTCTGTTTAGCAGTCCCATGAGGACAGACACAGAGAACGCAGAATAGGCTCTCACACTCCACTGGGTAAAACTTTATTGGGGTCCAGCTTAAGCAGACCACTTCATCCACAGGATCTCTGCAGACGAACGAACTACCTACACCCTGGTCTCTGCCACGAAGGACCCATTGTGGGTTAGGGACACCTTCTTCATCTAGAAATAGCCTAAGCAGCCACACAGGAGCCTTCTGCTCTGCCTTCAGGGACAGAAAGCATCCCTGGCTCCTGCATTAGCCAGAGTCACCTTCAGATCAGATGGACAGGACCTGCTTCCCACAAGGACCGAGGCCAGCTCGTGTCCTGGGAAGATCCCTCCCTGGGGTGAGGCCCTGAGCATCAAGTGAGTGTCCCCCAGTTCCTTTCTCCGGGGCTGGGTACTGACCCAAGAGAAGAGCTACAGAAGACACTGAAGCCAGCTCCAGACTCTGGGATGGCCTCCTCCACTCAGCCCTCCCAGAGACCGGGGTCCACAAGGAATGGGGTTTGGGACAGGCCCCGGGGGCCGGATGCTCCCAATCTGAGAGAGGAAGGTGCTTTGCAGGTGCTGCGGGCCCCGTGCATTGGGCCCAGGGGCTCTAGGAGTGGCCCCTGCCCTGGTGGGTAGCTCATCTCTCTGGCAGCAACAGGAAGAATGCAGCCTTCAGGAAGCGGCCAAAACTGCAGAGCGTGGCCACGAGCCAGTGGGAATGGAAGCCAGGGTCTGTGCTGACCACACACTTGAGGACATCAGTCTGGGAGAAAAAAAAATGGGATAGTTAGCCGGACCAGGCAACCCGAGGTCCCTAGTACCTTGCTCTAGAAAAATGTCTCATCAAATCACAAAGGTAATATACAAAGCTGTTTGAGAAAGGAGGATGTGGCCCATCTGGGCCTAAACTTGTTCAGGACACCTGAGAGTTAGAAGGGGAAAGGTCTCAAGCCAAACGTCCTTGCCTACTCATTTTATAGGCGAAAATGGGCTTCTGGACAGAGCCCATCCTCCGTGCCCAGTCCCCAAAAGTATCTTTGGTTTGGCCAACCATGTAGGCAGTCAGGCACGGAGACTAGGAGGGCCTGATCCTGACGCTCGCCCCTCTAGGTCTTGCTTCTTGAGAATGGGGAAAAGTGGGGCTCCCAAGAGTGAAGTGAAGTACTTTGGGCAGCACTGAAATCTCCCTGTGAGGGGGGCTTGGTTCTGTCTCTGAAAGACTACCTGTTGGCCTCTTTCTGCCAGGCGCCTTCTGGGGACAGCAAGGGGACCAGAGTTTAGGGTCTGGGATCATATCAGCACAGGCAGAGAGGGGCCAGCACCTGCCTGCATCCCAGAGCAACCCTGAGTCCTGAAGCCCTTGCCTTTGGCCCCCGCATTCGATCCCACTCCACTCTCTGTTCCTGCACTAACACTCCGGGGCTTACCACACCATCCCCACCCCACCGCACCCCACAGCCCCGCTGATTCTCAGGCTCACCCATCCACCACGCCTCCGAAGCCAGGTCGCCAGGGTCTTGCGAACAAACTCCCCCAGGCAGTCAACCAGGGCATGAACCATGGCAGGCTGAGCCTGCCGGACACAGTCCACTGCCAGCCCTGCAGCCACCGAGTACAGGGACACTACCTTGCCCCATGTGATGCCTAGAGAGAGAGAGAGAGAGAGTTGCTGATCAGACCCAGAGTGGTGTCCAGCCCCTAGGGTACCATGAAGAGCTGAGCTTCTCTAAGCCACTTTCCTGCCTGCCATCAGCCGGTGACTAATGATGACAATGGAGTCAGGGCCCTTGTGCAGGGCACCACTGCAACAGGGCGCTTGGCCAGATACATTAGTCGGCTTGACCACCGTCTCCAGCAAGTCAGGTTTTCCCTCTCGGGCTGTTCTCATGTAGATGCAGGCTCCCAGCCATACCTGCTGGAGCCTGGGAGACCAGCCTTACCCACATCTGAGAGAGGGGGCCACAGGAAAGCAGTGCAGCTCAGCACAGTGGGGTTGAGCTGACTCAGAACTGGGCAAGGAAAGCGGCAGACAAGGGTGTGTCCGACCCTGTTTTGTCTGCTGCTCTGAACCTTGACGCCAGGGCAGTAGGTCAGGGCCTATCCCAGGCTTGCTTTAGAAAAAAGCCACAGTCCACAGGAGGACGCCTCCCCAGACTGCTGACCTGCTGGGAGGCATAACAATAAATGAACAGCATTGTGAGGGGTTACACGCAGCACCTTAACAAACAGAAATGTAGGGGCTGGGGAGACAGCCCAGTAGTTAAAATATTTGCTAAGCAAGCCTGGAAACCAGAGTTCGGAGCCCTATAACTCATATAAACGTGGGGTGGGTATGCCAGCTCACCCTCCCCAATTCTAGTCTCCATAGACAGAGACAGGATCCTCGGGGCAAGCTGGTTAGCAAGCTTCACTGTATCAGCGAGCTCTGGGTATGTCTGAGAAACCCTGCCGCAGTGAATTAGAAGGCTAATGCCCACATCAACCTTGGGTCCCCGTATGCATGCACACGTATGTGCCTAGACACGCAAACATGCATACACACACGGAAGTGGAAAGAATACAGAAACTTTGTATGCTATCACTAGTACTGACAAAAAAAGAGTCGGGTCTTGGCATAATCGCAGCATTTCTGTGGCAGAGGCAGGGGAATCAGAAAGGAGTTCAGTCAAGGTCATCCTCAGCAGGCCTGGGTTACGTAAGTTCTTCTCTCCAAAGAGGGAGCTGGAAATATGGCTCCGTAGTTAAAGAGCACCTATTGGTCCTCCCAGAGTCAGACCTGGATACACGCGTACACATGCACACAGAGGTACAAACACATACACATAATTTAAAATGTTTTAAGTATATTATTTACATTTAAATATTAAAACATAAAATATTAGGCATTTATAAATACAAATATTAAAACTATAAATTATATAGTTGATATAAATATTTAAAATTATATTAAAATATAAAATATTAAAAATAGAATAAATCAGCCAGGCATGCTGGTGTGTGCCTTCAACCCAGCACTCAGGAGGCAGGGGCAGGCGATTTCTGAGTTAGAGGCCAGCCTGGTCTACAGAGCGAGTTCTGGGACAGCCAGAGACACTTTATCTCAAAAAACCTAAATAAATATATTAATTAATTAAAACAAATCTTTTAAAGAGGGGGTAGGTGAGGTAGTGTGCTCCTGTAATCTCAGTAGCAGGAAGCTGAGGCAAGAAGGTCTTGAGACTGAAGGAGCAAAAAAAAAAAAAAGCACAAATAACACATTAAGCTGCCCATTTCCCCATGTTAACAGCATAAGAGGATAAATTATAACAAGATGTTAAAAAGCTTTAGGGGCTGCGGAGACAGTAAGGTGTTTGCTATGCAAGCTCGAGGGTCAGATTTCAGATCCCCAGCCCCCATGTAAAAAGCCGGGCATGCCAGCATGATGGCCTGCACCCGTAGTCTTAGCACTGGCACCAGAGGGGGCAGGGATGACGGAGGTGGGAGGATCCTTAAGGCCAGCCAACCTGGTCATCAGTGACCTCCAGGTTCAGTAAGAGACTGTCTCAAAAAAGTAATAGGAAGAAGCTACGAAAAAAGATACTCATCCTTAACCTCTGACCTACACACAGGAGCGTCTGCACCTACAGGCTTGTACACGTACACACACACACACACACACACACACACACACACACGCGCACGCGCGTGAAGATGAGATGAGGGCTCAGCCACCTGCTGTTCTCAGCTCTGCTAGCAAAGGCAGTTGGAGAGCTTTTGCCTGAAAAGCTCACACAGCTAGCCACAGCTGGCCTGTGAGATGCTAAGTCGTGGCATTTTCAGACTATGACATCCCCCTCAACCCACCTTCACACAGCACTCGGAAGGACCTCTTACCAACGCGCCAGTCAGCACACAGATGTTCACCACCAAGGAAAAGCTAAATGCTCGTGGGCAAACTCCTGAGGTCCCGCAGCGGCACAGTTTTACAGCCAATTACCAGAGTGGTTCTGATGAATGCCACACACGGCAAGGGAAAGGAAGCAAACACAACAGGGCACAAATACTGTGCCAGTCCACCTGGAGGAAACCCAGAACAGGCACGCCCACAGAATCAAAAAAAAAAAAAAATTCATAGGGGTCTGGGGGCGAGGGACAGGGTGTTACTGCCGATAGGCAATATGTCCTCAGGATTGGGACAAACAACATTCTGAATGTGCTAAAAGCCACCAGATCTGACATTTAAAGTGACTAAATGTACAGTATATGAATGTTGTTAGCTCAAAAGGGAATGGGAGAGGGGGAGAACCCAACCCCCCTGAAATCAACAGTGCCACGCATCAGCTTCTAACTCTCCCATTGGAGTGACTTTCCGTCTCTTTCGAAATAAACCCAAGTCTGGAATCCAGCTGCGCTCCACTCTGGCATCCACAGGCACCCCTGGCACTCCTAGCGCACAGCCCTGGCTCTCTGCCTGCTGGGTATCCTAGGCCAGGGTCACCACTCAGGGTCAGTGACTGACAGGGCCTTGTGATCAGGCCCTGCAGTCAGTCACATTCTCACGGGGTTCCCTGCTGTTAGCTGTGACCTTGATGTGATGGTGAAGTCACGCGTCACCCACACAGTGCCCCGATCCACCATGAGAACCGAGGAGCTCGATGTCCTGTTAAACAGTGTGCTCCATAGGGCGATGATGTTCCCAGCAGAAGAGGCTGGGGAAGGTGGTGTCGAGGGGCACATCTTGGGGAGCGCCTGCTTCCCTTGGGCTCTCATATATTCATGATATAATTCTGGAACTTTTTTTGGTGTGGGGGGTAGACAGGGCTTCTCTGTGTCGCTTTAGAACCTGTCCTGGAACTCGCTCTTGTAGACCAGGCTGGCCTTGAACACCCAAAGATCTGCCTGCCTCTGCCTCCCAAGTGCTTGGATTTTTTATTTTTTATTTTTGGCAGGGGGTTGTTTTTTGAGACAAGGTCTCTCTATTATATACCTCTGGCTATCCTGGAACTTGTGCTGTAGACCAAGCTGTTCTCAAACTCAGAGATGCACCTGTCTCTGCCTCCAGAGGGCAAGGATTAAAGGCATGCACCACCACGGCCCGGCCCTGATTCATTTATTTTTTAATGTGTAAGGGTGGGTGTTCTGTCAGACTGTGAGTCTGTGCACCACATATATGCTATGCCCAAGGAGACCAGAAGAGGACTCAGATAGCCTAGAACTGGATAGAACTAACTTACAGCTCTGCTGAGAATTGAACTCAGATCCTCTGGAGGAGAACTAAGTGCTCTTAATCGCTGAGCCATCTCTCCAGCCCCCATAATTCCAGAACATCTTATCTCTCCAAAAGAAAGCCCATAGCCACTGGCCGTCATGCCCTGCTTCCCCATTGCCCCCTGGTGACTTCTAATCTGCTCTGTTATCGCCAGCACTCTGCACGTTTCTCAAATGGAATTTGTGTGTGACACATTTAAGGTTCCACACTCCTCTTCATGGTTGACCAATATCCCACATCCACTGTCAATTCATGTACGAGTGGATAGTCACGACTTTTGCCTGTGTAACTGATGCTACTGGAAACACACACAGGCAAGCTTCTCTGCAGACAAGTGTTTTCTTCTGTTAGGTTTACATCTAGTAGTAGATTTGGTGGGTCACATGGAAACACCATGCTTCACCATTTGAGAACCTGCCAGGCTGTTTTCTGAAGTGTGTCCCACCAGCTATTAGAGTCAAGGCTGAGTTCCCCACATCCTCATCAGCGCTATGGTGGTACGGCCGTCCTGGTAAGGATGATGCCATTCTGGCGCATGCAATGATGCTGATCATCACGTGTGTGTGTTTGTCAAGCCTGCTGGTACTTCCTGACCTCCAGTGAGATGTGACCGACCACCCTGCATTCCCATGGCTTCTCTTCCCCCCACCTTCTCCCCCCAGCTTGGAGACAGACACTCAAGCAGCCACCCGTGGTTGGCGTCAGCTGGAAAGGGCTCTGTCTCCCACAGGGGATCTCCCAGAGCTGCCATGCTCAAGGTGGATTTGCACCAAGAAGGGATGGTGGATAGGGGTTAAGGTTACTCTGGCCTCTTCCCAGTTCACACTCACTACCACCCCCAAAGCCCCAGTCCCTTTCTCCTGCTCACTCCTGCCACTCACAGAGGTCCAGTCTCTCCTGGGTTCACTGAAGCCATCCGCGGGCTAGATCTGCAGCCTCAGAAGCAAAGCTCCTTATAAATCTAGCAATCCCTGGCTCGTAAACCAGCCTGCTTGACAGCTTAGAGACAGACGCCCAGGCAAGCAACCCATGGCTGGCGTCAGTTGCAAAGCTCCAGAGAGGGTGATCCTCCACCCAAAACTCATGGCTGCTGGCTTCTTTCCTGAGCCCTCCCCACTATCGCTCCCACCAGGTACCTGCAGGTTACCTTCAAAGAAAGGGACAGGAATTAGCCCGTTAACTCCTGGTACAGTTTCTCCCCTAGCCCATCCATGTCACAGCCTTTCCCCCCTCTCCCACTGCATCACCCACACATTCACTTTCTTCCCACAGCCCACCCCCCTGACCCCACATTTTTCGGTCCAGAAGCCACACTGGCTGACCCTGGCCTCGCCACTGCTAGGGAAAAGATCTGACGTAAATGACACATGTGGACCACAAGGTGTCTAGCAGGGCTCTAAGGGGAAAGCATGGCACAGGAAGGTGTGGAGAGAGAAGTCTTGCAGCCTACGGTAAACCCGGGCCAGGGTACAAAAGGCAAGCAGCAATAGTGGAACTTGAGGCAGAGAGGGAGGAGGCTGCAGGAGCTAAGAATTGGCCTTGCCTATCACTCACTTCTGGAGCAGACATGGAAGGCCCTGGGAAAGCCCCAGGTGAGTTTGGTCACAGTCATCCAGATAAGTGTGTCCCTGATCTCCTAAAGCGCCCCACAACCAGGCACACTCAGAGACTCTTCGGAATACCCATCTTTTAAAATACCCCATGTGGATCTAGCTGTGGAAATTCAAGTACCATGGTCACCAAAACCCAGTATATGCAGAGGGCCACTGCCCTGCAGGGTACCACCACCGCAACCAATGCTGGACCATTATCAAACGGCAGGCAGGCCTGTGTCAACAGCCCTCAGGATGGCCAGCACCAGTAATTATCGAGAAATCTCGATAATAATAAAGATACTCATAAACAAAGACCACCCAGCCACTACTGTTAACCAAGTAGCACAACCATGTATCACTGCTACTCCTGTGCCGCCTTCTCCCGTTAGTCCAGTCTCATCCCTTTCATAAACCACCCTTCACTTATTAAATTCCACTACCACCTCAACCTATTACATATATAACTCATAAGCCCACCACAAAAACTCCCAGCCCCACCCAATTAGACCCTCAAGTTTCAGGATATTCAATTTCAAGGCACCTAGAGTCAAGCCTGAGACTTGAATTCAATCTCACAAACTCCCCAAAGTGCCCTCTGACCTGAACATATGTGCCGTGGTTCAGTGCACACACACACACACACACACACACACACACACGTGCACACATACACACCAAATAAAAACATAATAAACAGCTGGGGATGGTGATGCCACCTGTAATCCCAGCACTCAGGAGGCAGAGGGAGGATCTCTGAGTTCGAGACCAGCACGGTCTACATAATTCTAGGACAGCAAGGGCTACACAAAGAAGCCCTTTCTCAAGAAAACCAAAATTAAGAAGAAAAAAGAAAGTGGCCAGCAGCACCGCACGCTGCCTTCTGAGCCAGCTCTTGCTGGACTGGGCTGTGACATAGTTCAGCACAGCCTAGAGGGCCAGGAGGCTGGCAGTATGCTAGCAGTGACTTGGAACCCGCAGGACTGTGTCAGAGGATCCCAAGGGTTTTCTATCTTTGTAAGCCTGCCTGACCCACACATGTTGAGCCTCCTCTCCCAAACAGGCCAGACCTTACCTGCTGAGAAGATGTGGCCTGCCACAGCAAGGAAGGCGTCCGTCACCACAGGCTCAGACTGTAGAGAGATGTGCAGCTGCCGGGCCACGTTTCGGTACACACTGGGGCGAATCTGCTCCAGCTCATCCCCTGCATGGGCACACAGGGGCTCAGGTCCTCTCACGCCATAGCCCTGTGGCTAGCACTGACCACGACTCAATCCTGCCCTTGATCCACCCGACCTCACTTGACCTGCGGGCTCACACCTTTCTCTCCACTCGGCCCTGATACTCCATTCTGTCTGTTTGACACCCACCCACCCCTTCACCTTATCTTACTTCATTTGACTCTCCCAACCTTGGCCCCACGAACAAAGAGACTAAAGGAGGTCGTGGAACCTCCAGCTCCTAAAAGCAAGCTGGCTGGGCCAGTGGGGCAGGAATCCTGCAGTGGTGCATGGGCAGTGCCTACCCAGTCAGTGACTCACAGCAGGCAGGCAGGCAGGCAGAACCCAACATGGAGAGAGGCTCGGCTAGAATATGTAGTCACCGCCTGCTGCCTCGTAGGACTGTCCTGGCTGAAGCACTAGCATCACTAGTGATGGCTCAGTGAACTGACTTGGGCTGAGCCAAGGCTCTGGGACAATGGTACCACCCACATGCCAACATGGGCTCCTGGTGCCAAATGGGTGTGCTTTTATATGCTCCTACATCAGTGCAGCTGGGCCAAAGAGGATGCCTGCCACCGTCCCACCTGCCCCCCCCCCCCCGGGCTGCAGTGCCCTTGGCAGCGTCATGCATGCACAGGGAAAGATGGTGCCGGGAATTCCACACGGCCTCTGATTGGGTGCCCCTGGTCCAGCCACTTCCCCAGCCAAAGCAAACAGGGAAATGCTGCTGCCGCCTGGCCTGTCCCAGCGATAAGGGCACCCACGTCATCCCCGAGGCCAGCTGTGCTCTATCTAATTAATTAAGATCTGGAACGGGTGCAGAATCAGGAGGAGGAGGGCCAGGGGATGAAGAGATGGCATGGAAATTCCCAAGGCTGGCCTGGGTATTGCCAAGGATTAAAATCCTGGGGGCCTCTGGAGACTGACCCCAGGGAGATTGCAGAGGGACACAAGCTGGGCTGCTTCCTGTCTGTGGCTGGGGTCATGCTTGGTGGGGGGGGGCAGGAAGCTATCACTGAGCTTAGAAAAAAATCATCCTGAATAGTCATGGCAGCACCAAACATAACCTGAACAAGCACACATGGGGATGAAAGTGCTCTTCCTCCAGGAATCCCCTTAGCTGTCTAGAAGGGTCTGAACCCCAGAGTGTAGGAACGATAGGCCTGAGTGATGGAGAAAGGCCTTAAAGTTATCCAGTACTCAGAGGGCTAGCTGAGCACACGGCTTTGACCTGTTCCTTTCTACAGGCCAGTGTTCAGTCCCCCCAGGACCTGCCAAAAGGGCTGAGAGGACAGACGTTGACTGGGTCAGACCCAAGGCAAGACTTCCCTTCCTCCCTGCCACCCAGTGCCCTAGGGACTCTCAGGAGGTCACTGTGTCATTTCTCCAGCAGCAGCTCCCGGTCTTCTTCTCTGATGAATTTGCTTAGCCAAACCCTTTCACTCATCCCCCACACAGAGATAGCTCCCTCTGTCCATGCACAGCCCTCCTTCCTGGGTGCCCAACTCAGATGGCATGAACTCTACCTCTTGGGCAGACCAGGTCTACACAGCCCTGTTCCTTGAGGCCATCGCAGCACAGAGATGCAGGGCCTATATAAGATAGTATGTGTGCATAACTCATCTCACAGGAAGCCAGCTCATCCATGGCTCCCTCCAACCAGGAGAGTGCACACCAGCTCTCCCTGACAACCACTCACCTATTTATGTGATCTCTGCTATTCACCTCCCATTCCCTTGGACGGCCCCAGGACAACGCCAGGCCCCAGTCCGGCTGTGATAAGGTGAACTGTCCACCTTCCAAAAGAAAGGTTTGCCTATCCTTCCCCGTCACGTGTCCAGGCCTTAGAGGAGCTAAGGAGAGTCACTGAGCTGTGTGTGACCCCTCCAAACAATGTCCCAGATGTCCTTTGAGAAGGCCCTGGCGGGGGGCCTTCCCATCAAGGGAAACAGCAAAGAGTGTCGGATCTCAGCCAATAACTGAAAGGCCTATTTTCCAAAACAAACATTGGGACATGTGGTCCCACAAAGGATTTTTTAGTCCAGCAGAGTACAAGGGTCACAATAAAGTTTAGCCGCTAAAATATTACTCTTCCAGAGCTTTCTGTGGTTTACGACAAGAATGTCTGTGATCTGGGCTAAGCAGACATGGGGGGTTAGGGGTGGGGGACCTGGCAAAGGAGCCAGCAAGCAGGCAAGCCTAGGGGAGAACAGAGGAGCACCAACCTGGGTGGCCTGTCCTGCACCCTCACCATTCCAGACAGATTTGGGCTCCCACGCATGCACGCCTCCTCTTTACCCCAGAGGGAGGGTGAGGCGCAGCCAAAGAGGGACTGAACATGTCTGGAGAAGGGAATGTCGTTGCAGAACAGATGTACTTAGTCCCCCGAATCACAACAGGCCCATCAACCAGTTATGGGAGCTAGGGGGGATGGGATTGTAGCTGCTGGTGTGCCACACTCACCCAAGCGCAGCAGCACGGTGCACACCTCCGCTAGGCGTCCTCCAGGGGCAGGAGAAGCACGCTCCGGTGCGCTCCAGGAGAGGCCGGCGCGCAAAAGCCGCGCGTGCACGTACTCCCGGCCTAGTGCCTTGGCCTGGGCCACCAGCTCCTTGTCTGTGGGCGAGCGATCAAAAGCGTCCATGATCTCCGCAGCGAAGACAGAAGAGCGCCGCAGCACCTCCATGGCCGAAGTGCAGGCGAGAGGAACCACACCTACGACAGACAAAGCACAGCCGGACGGCCTCCAGCCAAGCAGGGAAGGGACGCCCGCTACGCGAGGAGACCTGGAGGCACAGCGCGAGGCACAGCGGTCCCCACCGCGTGCGCCCCGGTCCAGTGCCGATCCAAAGCTCACAGAGGAGGTCGGCTGGCCGCCGCCCTCAAAAAGGGCCAGTTTCGGATGGCCTCTCGTTTTGCTCCCCAAGCCTTTTAAAACACAGTGCCACGTTCTTTTAGGTTCTAAATTAAATCACCGGCGGTGGTCAAGGGTTGGAAGCACAGCGAGAAAAATAGTGATAGGTTCTGTGGTCACAGTGCCCAGGTTCAAGGACCAGTTTGGGGGCGACGGAGGAAGCAGAGTAGCCTGGGCGACCAGGCGACAGGGGCTCCTCCGACCGGGAAATCAACTCCCAAGTAAGGCTCTAAACGGCGCGGCCATCCAGGCCAAGCACTTGTGCACCTCGCAGAGCGGGTGTTTGTTCCCGGTGTCGCCGTTCCCATGGTGCTACAGCCAGGGGACAGACGCCACGCCCGCCCGACTCACCTCTCTGGCCGCTTGGCGCGCGGGGCGGCAATGGAGTTCTGGTTTCAGGACCCGCTCGCCGCTGTCTCCGCGGGTCTAGACCATTCCATTCAAACCCGCGAGCGCGCCCCGCCCCAGCGCCCGCCCCGTCCACGCCCGGGCCGAAGCACAGGCTCCGCCGGTCTTCCCGCGCTCGCAGAAGTCCTGATCTCCAGAGGTGCGTGCGGGAGGCGTACCGCGGACTCCCCGCAGGCGAGTGGCCAAGCCTAGGGCTTCGCCTTCTAAGGAAACGGCATCCCCCGGGGGTGGAGCCGCAGCCCAGCTCTGCCCAACGCCTCCCCGGTTTAAGGAAGGCCAACACAAGTTCTCGGGATGCGCCGCCCGGGAACGCAGCCAGGCTGGAGCTGTCCCGACAGGCAGCGCGAAGAACATCCAGCTCTGACACCAACCCACTGGGGCGCACCGAGTTCCATTTTAGAATTGGCTGACTTACCCTTTCCTTAGTGCCTTGTAAGAGGTTCCTTAGAGATTCTGGGTTCTTGCAGTTCTAGGGGATCCAGTGCCCTCTTCTGACCTCGGAGGGCATCAGGCACACACGTGATGCACAGACATACATGCAGGCAAACATTCATACGCAAAACAAAACTAAAAATAAGTAAATCTTTACAAATAGATTCTGGATTCTTGACTTAATAGAAGCCTTTGTTTGGAGTGTGATGGAGATTTGGCTTTGTACTTGATTGAAGATGCTTCTCCCACTCCAGCCTGACTTTGCTTCTAGTGAATTGAGTGAGTTTTCTTATATGAAGCCCAATATATAATTTTTTGTAGTTGGTTATCTCTCATTAGGGTATTTTCCTTGGAGAGAAAAAGAGGAAGGGGAAGAGAGAGAGAGAGAGAGAGAGAGAGAGAGAGAGAGAGAGAGAGAGAGAGAGAGACTGAGACTGACTGACTGTCTGGAACTCTGTGTTGACCACTTGTTCAACTTGTAGGGATCTTCCTGACACTGATTCCCGAATACTGGTCCACAGATGTCATGACCCCACACTGAGCTTCTCTGGTCTATTTTTTTCAGAAACTTAGTTATTTTAGGATTCATATGTAGGCCTGTTATTCTTAAAAAAACGATTCCCGCGGTGGGTTGGCAGAGCCCGCCATGAGAAAGAGGCTACAGGAGGGCACGCTTCCTTGGCCCACGGTGGCGGCAGGTAACAGACACGTAAACACAGGAAATAGCCATAAGTATTTATTAAGGAAGGGGGAGAAAGAAAGGCAGAGAAAAGAGATAAAAGGAGAGAGGAGAGATAAAAGAAGAGAGAAGCAGAAAGAGAGAGGGGGGTCCCAAGATGGCGATGGGCAGGTCAGAGGTTATGGGAGTGGGCGTGGCTATGGCAGGGACCAAAAGAATAACAAGGCCTATGATGGATCACAAGCATTACTGGGGACGATGTGGTAGTTAATCTGAGCTCTTTGTTTCCATGTGAATTTCTAAGAAAGTCGGCATCATTTACTAGACTCTGGTCTTCATCTTTTGACCCAACTGTACAATCCCAAGGGCAGGATTTCCTCATTTAACTTATATGTATTACGAATACATACATGTGTCCATATAGGTGTTTTATCTGCATGTACATCTGCACACAAGAAGAGGGCATTAGATCCCATGGAACAAATGGTTGTGAGTGGGTGCTGGGAATTGAACTCAGCACCTCTGGAAGAACAGCCAGAGCTCTTAACTGCTGAGTCATCTCTCCAGCCTCCCCAATGGAAATATTTTCAAGCGAACAATGGTAAAAAAAAAAAAAAAGAAAAGAAAAAGAAAAGTATACATCAAATCTATGAGATGCAGCTAAAGCACTGCTTAAGGAAACTTCTGACTGAAATCATTTGGGAGAGAAAGAGGCGGGCAGAGAGAGGCTGAGCAAGGTGTGATGGCTCATGTCTCGGATCACAGACCTCCTGGTGGGGCAGGAGTTTCAGGAATTCAGTCATTCTCAGCCACATAGCAAATTTGAGACCATAAGGCTGTTGTGGAATACTATTTTACCTAGGCAAAGATGTGTTACATTTGTTTATGCTGCAGAATGCTACTTTAACTGTGTAAAGGTTTGTTACATTTGTTTCACCTTGTCTGCTTGAGGCACCTAATAAAAAGCTGAACCCCCAAAAGCTAGGTAGTAGAAGGCTAGGTGGGACTGGCTGGCAGAGAGAATAAACAGGAGGAGAAATGCAGGCTCAAAAAGAAAGAAAGAAGAGAAGGAGGAGGAGAGAATGAAGGAGGAAGAGAGGAAACTGCCCAGGGTCAGCCAGGCAGCCGCCAGCCAGTAGACACAGAGTAGGATTTACAGAAACAAAGGGTAAAAAAATCCCAAGGAAAAAGGTAGATAAAGAAAACAGGTTAATTTAAATTAGAAGAGCTAGCCAGAAACAAGCCTAAGCAAGTCAAACATTCAAAACTAATAATAATAAGTCTGTGTCATGATTTGGGAACTGGTTGGTGCCCCAAAAGAAAACCTGATACATAAGGCCCTAATTTTTTTTTAAAAAAAAGTAAATTGTTGGGGGCTGGAGAGATGGCTCAGCGGTTAAGAGCATTGCCTGCTCTTCCAAAGGTCCTGAGTTCAATTCCCAGCAACCACATGGTGGCTCACAGCCATCTGTAATGAGGTCTGGTGCCCTCTTCTGGTCTGCAGACATACACACAGACAGAATATTGTATACATAATAAATAAATAAATATTTAAAAATAAATAAATAAATTGTTTTAAAAATGGGCTGGTGGGAAGATGGCTTAGAAGATGGTGTTTGCCCCCAAACCTGACTGAGCTCAATATCTGGAACACGTAAGATAGAAGGAAAGAACCAATTCCCACATGCATGCCATGACATACGTATGCCCCACGTGAAAATAAACATGCATTTTTTAATAAAGTGCTGGGATTAATGAAACAAAAAAGGCAGGCATGGTGATGCACACCCTTAATCCCTTAATGTTAGGAACAAATCTATTTCTCTCTCTCTCTCTCTCTCTCTCTTTCTCTCTGAGTATGAAGTCAGCCTGGTCTGTATAAGGAGTTCCAGGCCAGCCAAGGCTTAAATCACTGTCTCAAAATAAAAAGAAAGAAAAGAGGGGTTGAGAATTTACGAAGATAGCTCAGCAAGTTAGGAGTGCTTGCAGTGCAATCATGAGGAGCTGAATTCAAAACCCGAGATCCTGGCACAAGCTCAGCACCTTCGTGCACGTGCCTGCTATCAGGAGCAAAAATGACGCAATCCTTGGGGTTTACAAGTTTCACTATGAAAGCCTGTCTTAGGGAATGAGGTAGAGAGAGTTAGAAAATGAAGGGGACTCTGCGGTGTCCAGGCAAGGAAGCAAACCGTGAAGAGAGTAAAGATTCTGTTTAGGTTGACTTTATCAACCTGGGTCAGATTTGGGGAGTCAGATTTCAGGAAGTTTATTCCCAACAAATTTTGTTTTGTTTTGTTTTGTTTTGTTTTTCTAGACAGGGTTTCTTTGTGTAGCTTCAGAGCCTGTCCTGGGACTTGCTGTCTGAGATCTGTGTCATTTGTTAGGCCGGGGCATATCAAGCTGGCTAGTAATCTGACTGATCCTTACAGCCAGGGGTTCCCCAAGCTCCCACATCCAGGAACAGAGGTGGCTAACAGCACAAATGACCTCTATGCTATCTGTGTGACCAAGACCATGCCAGGGCCCTCCCTAGGGCCTTAAACTAGTATAGAGAGCCTATCTCCAGAACTCATCTCGTTGGAAGAAAAAACACTGAGTTGAGCTTCAGTGTAATTATGCCTCCTGTGTACCATGGATTTTATCACACCAGGAAAATTTTGTCCAAATTATACTGTGTTTAAATTTGTTGGAAATAGGCCAGGCAGTGATGGTGCACTCCTTTAATCCAATCCCAGCACTCAGGAAGCAGAGGCAGGCAGATCTCTGTGAGTTCAAGGTCAGCCTGGTCCACAGAGTGAGTTCCAGGACTGGCACCAAAGCTACATAGAGAAACCCTGTTTCTCTCTCTCTCTTTTTTTTTTTTTTTTTTGGTTTTTTTGAGACAGGGTTTCTCTGTGGCTTTGGAGCCTGTACTGGAACTAGCTCTGTAGACCAGGCTGGTCTCGAACTCACAGAGATCCACCTGCCTCTGCCTCCCGAGTGCTGGGATTAAAGGCGTGCGCCACCATCGCCCGGTGAGAAACCCTGTTTCAAAACAAAACAAAACAAACAAAAACAAAAAAAGGTATATGATCAAATTATAGCAAGTTAAAAAAAAAACAAAATAATAAGTAAATAAATAGATGGACAAAAGAAAATAGTATATACAATTTCATAGTCATTTACATTTTAAATGTAACACAGTTTACCAAAACTGACTCTGGAAGAAAAGAAAATCTGAACAATCCAACACCAATTAATATATTTAGCTTGTAAGGGTATTCCCATTTTAGTTTCTTTTCTATTGTTGTGAAGAGACACCATGACCAAGGAAACCTAGAAAAGAAAGCATTTAATTGGGGGTTTGCTTACAGTCTCAGAGTGTGTGATCCATGACCATCATGGTGGGAAACAGGCAATAAGCAGGCAGGAATGGCCCTAGAGTAGTAGCTGAGGGGCAGAGAGAACCTGGCTTTTGAAACCTCAACACTCACCTCCAGTGAATCATCTTCTCCAACGGGACAACACACCTTCTAATCCTTCCCAAACCGCTCCACCTCCTGGAGACCAATCATTCAAGTGCATGAACCTTTGGGGGTCATTCTCATTCCAACTACCACACATATCAACATTCAAGTTTTGTACAGTTTGTTGAACTGAAGAAATATCAACAACCTTACATGGGTCTACCCAAAAATTTTAAAATGAGAAAATATTTCTCGAGCTGTTTTTTAATCTAGCCTTGATATCCAAACCTGTTAAGCACACTATAAAAAGGGTGGAAAAAGCACTGAGAGATGGCTCAGTAGTTAAGAGTTCATACTATTCTTGAGTTGGCCCAAGTCTGAGCAGCTCACAACTGCCTGAAACTCCAGGGGGATCCAATGCCTCTGACTTCCCAAGGTACCTGCTCTCATGGGCACATAACCCCACAAAGACACCCAGACACAAACACATATACGCAATTTAAAAATAATAAATAAAGGGTGGTGGTGGTGCACGCCTTTAATCCCAGCACTTGGGAGGCAGAGGCAGGCGGATCTCTGTGAGTTTGAGGCCAGCCTGGTCTACAAGAGCTAGTTCCAGGACAGGCTCCAAAGCCACAGAGAAACCCTGTCTCGAAAAACCAAAATAATTAATAATA